GAAACCGATACATCCAATCGCGCTGCTCACAATATCAGCGACGAGAGACGGAAAAGAATTACCCGATGGAAAATACGCGTGAAAGTACGGCGAGGTCCAATGTGTCACCTGCACATTTTGATGAAAATGATAAATTTTATCTTTTTTTCTCCAAAATATAAAATGTGGAGGGATTTTTTCTATAAATTTAGAGAAAATTTATTTAATACCGCAAAATAAAAATTACAAAGTGAAAAGACACATTGCAAAAGAAGCAATAAAAATAAAAGTATTAGTTTTATGTAATACAAAATAATAATGTTTATTCTTTATTTATTAAATTTTATTATTTTTTTTAAATTATAGTACTTTGAATATTAGATATATATTATTTCTAATTATATATTTAAAAAAGAATTATTTTTTTTCTCTTTATTTATCTGGATAGAATTACATTTTTATTAATTTTAATACAATTCTATTAAACATTAAAATTTACTATTACATGCAAGTTTTAATGCGATATATATAATATTTTATGATAAAAAAAAATTTAAAAAGAATTAAAAATTTACCCCTGGCATAATATATTTTTCCACATCTTTGAGCACTTCCTGCCATTTTTCGGATTTTTGTGGTGCTTCTTTTGGAAGTAACTTACTGAGATAACCCGGCTCCACATCCGGTAATACGTTTCTGCTTCTCACAGTATTAGTATAATCCGCAACGTAGTCTATAGTCGCTTTGGCAAATTCTACGAATTCCGATGTGTCCATATTTTCTAAATTCGAGAGTACGCGACGTCAATCGCTGTAACCAACGAGTTGAAAAATCCGTTTTAATTAATATGTTCGTACCATGAAGATAATGAAGGAGATTGAAATACGACTTTGAATTTGACGTTAAAGTTAAACTTACGTAGCAAATCGGTACCTTGCGAATGATTTTTATGTAACTGTTATATAATGCTATAAATTTTATGGTACACTGAGAAAAACATGCTGTTGATTCAATTAAAGTCTATATTACGGGCTGTCATTAACATAAGTAATTAATTCATGTATAATTTTATTGACAAAGCTTGATTACTGAAATAATAATTTATGCCTTTATGTCAATAACAGTTAAAATAAGTTTTATTATCAAGATTATTTTATCTTAATCTAAATTTCTCATACTTGTTGATTCAACTTAGAAATAACTAGCGCGGAAATGCTTGGTAGCAAAACTTTGTTAAATATCAATGATAATCCTTGAATTAAATAACATTTCGTTATTTTTATCACGTTTATTGCCCATTTGAAAAAAATCTCTGGGAATTAAGCCAATTTCACAAAAATTATTTACCTTGTGCAACAAAAAGTAAGTTCGAAAAATGCGAACCAAAATTGAATAATACAAAATGATGTCTTTGTGCCATAACTGTACAGTTTCTCATTCAAAGCCCAATTGGCATGCTCATTATAACTAAATTTACTAAACGTGAAAATGATAAATTTATCACGCGCTATATTACGTGTACGTCACGTTTTTAACATAAGGTTTTTCTACACATTTTTTCCTAAACATTCCTGATAAATCTTGTTTCCTGCTACTTATCTTACTAGCTTTCACCTATCGTTTTTAATCCTTTTTTTTATCTACCCTTAAGACTCGTCTTGAATATTCAGTCTTACAGATATCTTATGACTTATCCCTAATTCGTGAGTAATCGACACTCACATATCTTATAATTAGTTTCTTTCATCCCCATTATGCATATTTTTGGTATTCGAAAATGTCACGTTATTGGTTAAAATTTATTGGAATCTCCACCTCTTTTATCGTAGTGAAGATCCCTCTAGTTCTGATCGAGTCAGTCTGTTTTTGTAAGCTGCTAATAACACATCTCTGTGATTTAGTCTATAAGCTTGCCTGTATCATCGTTGAATAAAGTTTAGTCAGAAGACAGTTGTCGAATCTTTTTAATACTTTAATATTACAGTGCATCTCGCTCGTAACAGTTAATCGTGAGCAGCAAACGTACTACCTTCTATGTATGTCAAAACGTAAATCAATTTCTTTGGTTGAATTGCTTGATTTTGAAATAAATAACGTCTTTATTAATATATATATGCACAAATAATAAATTAAATTTGAGTCAATATATTTTATATATTTTCTTAAATTGTTTAAAAACGGTATTGCTTTATATAATCAGTTAAATTAATGACATAATGAGTGGGAATAATGATGAGAGAGAGAGAGAGAGAGAGAGAGAACTATAAAAATTATTAAAAATAATTCAAATTAAGTATAATTTGACAGATATGAATTTAACAGTAAAGAGAAAAATTTCACGTACAAAACATGAGAGTCTCCCAATAAAATCTTTCTTTTTATTTTCAAGACGAATATTTTTATTTCTAAGTATTATTTCCCCATTCACGATCCATTATGGAACTCGTACCTGTATAGTCTACGCGTTACGTGTTGCACAGAACAGGGAAAATTCACTATGTATACACCATAAACATCATAGAGTAGGAATCTTTCGCTTAGATCCGAGATTTGTATCTCACTGTCACCATCAGACACAGTAACGACAAAAATTTAACTGATCAATCTGTACGACTCGAGATAAACGCACGAATTGATGGATGATTCGGAAGTATTTTCAGTCGAACACCGTCCTTTAACGTTAAATACCACCACCCAGGAAACTTTCACTTGCTTTCTCCGTAATCATACCAAATTTGCCGAACGAGGAAGCAATTCTTCTTTAGTGTCCCGAAAATGTTCTTCCGCGCTTCAACTGATATTTTTCTTTAATTAAACGGCTATTCAATTCTTTAATTCTAATTGGAAGGTACATGAGAGCAATAGTAGTTCATAATAGTTATATTTATAAAGTTGCAGTTTAGTTATATTAAATGTGTACTACTGACTTTCTCATTATAACGAGTTTTTTTTATATAGAATTTATATTCTTCATTTAATTTAAAATATTCTTTTTTTGTGTAAAATTATATAATTTTATATCTATGTAATAAAATTTTTAAATATCCAACCAATCGAGAAGAAACATATCAAGAAAATAGGAATTAGCTAAATGAAATGCGTGCATTAATAAAAAAATTAAATTTCATCAATACGTCCAGCAATTAAATATTTGTCAAAACAATATGTCAAAACAAAATTTAACGACTTAGGTACATTTAATATAAATGAGCACATTCAAAATTGTAACGTTCTTGCATTTCCAGAAGATGCACAGAAAAAACTCTTTTACTTCCGAAAATTAACTTGTATTATCTCGATGTGTTTCCTCGTGATTGTATATTTTTATACCTTTTTGTTTATATTTTCCAAAGCAATAAGAGTAGACTGCTGTATAGTAGAAGAGACTTTGTTTCACTATACAATGTGAACCATTCGAGCAACTCTATAATTTATATATCTTCAGTCGACTACACGTAAATCTAACGAAACTAATACGTTCATTGAAAGTTTATATAAGAAGTTTGCTCAAGTGTTAACTAAATGTTCATTGAGCTTTAAAATATTTATTGAATTATTTATGAAATGGAAATTTAAACATGGAATTGTTAATGACATAGTCTCTAGTTTCTATTACAGTTTTCTAAGATTTGTAATAAAATATTGTTGTCAATATAGGAGAGTGTTACAATGTGCTTCTACAGTGTAACCATCAATGAAACTTTTCATAAACAGTATCATCATCGACAAAACTCTCTATAACTCTGTATAAACAAATATAAACACAATCTTTCATTAAATTTTTTGCCGGGGAAGTTGTCCTTCCTTCTATAAAACATAGAATGACTGAACTTACCGGTAATGTTTTTCCTTTTTTTTCCAGTTTTTTCCTATTTTGTAAAAAAACAAAAATTTAATAACTTTTATCACAATTCTTGTATTATATACCCTGTATTATCTTTGTTTATAGTAATTTTTATCACAATTTCTGATGAAATTATACAAAACAGAAAATGAGATATTTAATCAATATTCTCACCTGTGCATACAACTAACAATTTATTCGCAACATATATTAGAGTCTTATCGGTTTGAAACTTTATCTGTCCCGTGTGAATGGCACTTATTGCGTAAAATATTTACAATTTATAACTCATTCATCGTAATCTATTAAGCATTAAGCAATACAAAAAATAATTTATGTTTTGTTTTTCTCTGACGTATTCTACAGCTCGAATTGGATTTTTGTCCATCAATTATTATCCTATTATTTTGTCAATACATAATCTAATTATTATTTACTGTTTTAACTTTTAACTGTAATTCTACCGTGAACTTACTATGATAATTCAAAAACTACATATTATATTAATATAATTAAAAGATAGATTTAATACAAATAACAAATATACAACTTGAAAAGAAAATTTTCCAAGTAATATATTTTGATATTTTGAATCACATTAAAATTTTGTAATATTAATTTTGAAATGTAATTTCAATGTATTAATTAATTGTGAAGAAATAAAAGTATGTACTTTTAAAGTATATATTTTTCTTTCTGTTTCCATTCTTTTGCGAGCAATTAAAAAATGACAACTTTCAAATTATGTTGTAATAAATGAGAAAAATATTAAAAAATCAAAGAGCAATTTTAATTTTAATTTTGTTATTATTATATGTATACATATATAGTATACGTATTATAATAAACATTCTTATATTTAACACTAATAAGATTGAAAATTTATTCGCAACGCATTTAAGATCTTATCGGTTTGAAATTTTATGTAAGATGAGAAAAATTTTTTACAATATCAGTCAAAATATAAAAACGTTTTGTAATATCATTTGAAAGTATCAGCTGAATAATTAGTCAAAATAACTGATATCAATCAAAAATATCAGTCATTACTTAATAACATTAAAAAAATTTTAATTAAATTGAAATTAAATTAAAATTAAAATTTAATTTAATTTTAAAGACAAACAAAAAATTATATAACTTTTAAACCAATAAAAGAATTTATGCTTAAATTTTACATGCATACTCAAAGATAATAATAGAACAATCTGTGAAATTTTTGTTAAATTCTTAATATTTTAAAAATAGATACTAAACATTCTCAAAAATAATTTACATTTCTGATTCTGATGTATTCTTTCGTCATTACATGCATTTACATGCATTTTACTACAATTTTACTAAAACATAACGTTTTACTAAAAATTAACTTAATAATTATTACCTATTACATTTCATTTTATTACAGCAATATTACATTTATAAATTTTACATATATATAGAGAATTTATCCTGCAAAAATTAGTGTTTTTTCCTCAAATAAACTAAATAATTAATTAACAGTATTTGTTTTTTACCGAGCCCATATCAATTGATAACAGCGTGCTTTATAACGTGCTAAACTGCGTTTTATAAATATATTGAAACTATATAACTAATACAATATATCAAGGTGAGAGTATTAATTGCACTAGTTTACAGTAAAAAATTACTTCAAACTCTGGACTAGTTTTATATATATTTTGAAATACTGAAAACAATGCCGCAAGCCAAAAAATTCCAGCACGTCAGGTTTCTAAGAAAGTTAAGGTTTATTGTCCAAAAAATAATTTTTTGACGATAATTTTTTTAACGATTTGACGTTTTCTGTAAAAATAGTTAACATTCTCTTGAAAATCTAATTAAAAGCCACAAATATATTGTTTATTCTTTATAAAATACATTTTTCTTTATTTCAATATCTTTTTTTTTTTAGCTGTATTATGAAGGATTTAAATACAAGGCTTTTCTAAGATAGTAAAAATTTTCCGCTCATAATGATGAAATCATACACAATTTCTAATTTGTAATTATCAATATACATTCACAAATACAACTTTTGTTTGAAACAGGCGTTTTTTTCTAGGAATGAGTTTTTTAATATTCGATGTAGAGAATTAAAATGAGACTTTGTGTACATATGTATTATATACGTATACATATATACATATTCAACAATGTTTACGAAGATAAATTACTCTATGTAGCAATGGTCACAAACTAATAATTATAAGTAACTTCATTTATCGGCGATATGTATATAATACATGCAGGGCTGAGCATGTATTTGAAATACTTTTATTTGAAAAACAGTATTGATAAGACAATTATATTCTGTATTTTGTGTTTGTTCAGAGTACATGATAATATTTTGTATTTCATGGGAGCACATTAAAGTATTTTGTATTTTATATTTCAGTATTAAAAACAAACGATTGAAAGTATTTTGTATTTTGTATTTCAAATACTAACATTGATAGTCAATCTTATTATTTGAATTACAAAATACAAAAGGCTTTCAATTTTTCGATTTTAAATATAAAATACATAATACTTTTTTATGTGATCCGCTGAAATAAAAAATACAAAATACGTTTGTATTGCAAATAGTGTGTTTTAAATAAAAATATTTTAAATACATGCCCAGCCCTGCTGATACATGTATATTTAGCGGTATCTGTGACGATAAATTACACTATGTATCAATAGTCACAAACTAATAATTATGAGTGACTCCATTAACCATTCATAGACGAAAAATTTATTATCTTGGAAAAACTTGTATTGAATCGTTCATAACATGGTTAAAAACTAAAAAGTAAGACATTGAAATTAAAAAAATTGTAAGTACATTTTATAGGAGATAAACAATACATTCATAATATCTGATAAAAATTCCAAGATAACGTTAATTTTTTTTATAAAAAAATGTAACGCAAAAAAGTTATTTTTTGCATATTAAACCTCAATTGTTTCCGGAATCTAATGTGTTGGTGAAATTTAACTTGCGGCATCGTTTTCAGCATCCAAAAATCTAAGAAACACCTTGTCTAGTTCAAAATAATTAAAAAAAAAACATTTTTTAAACTAGTACTATCTTTTCCTTATTATAATTTAATCGGTAGTCTCGTATAGTTTTCGAGTCATAAATAGTAAAATATTTTACTACTTATATCTCAAATCTAACGATTAAGTTATAAGGAAAGTACAACATACTTCACGGTCAAGTTTGACGCTGTGTTCATAAATACTCAAATATATTCGTGACATTTCAGTATCGGAATGAGGTTTGCGATACGCATTATTTAAAAGACATAATAACGTTCGCATTTACATTTAGAATGCATATTTAAAATGCAAATATATTAGCAATGCTGAAATACAAAATAATTACAATGTTAGACAAAGAAATGCACGAGAACCCAAATAATTATTTTCCGTGTTTTGTTAATCGCTGAATTATTTAAAAATATTGTTTTGTAACACACACACACACACACACACATACGTCATAATGTTGAGGAATTCTTAAGACTTCTGATCTCTACTTATTGTTCTCCTATTTAATTAGTAATATAGGATTTATTGCATCAATGTTATGACTTACATGTACCATTAAAAAATCTGTCAAATATTTTTTAATCATAACTAATTTCAATATAGCTTTTCTCCGTAATTATTATTCTTAGTATAATTATCTATTCTCCCTCTGTTCAATTTTTTCTTTCTAATATTATAATTTGAAGTAGTTTACATAAATATCATTGACTTTCAATATACATATAATGATAAAGTGCAAAAAGAAAGAATTGTGGGCTCGTCCGGGATTTGAACCCGGGACCTCTCGCACCCGAAGCGAGAATCATACCCCTAGACCAACGAGCCTCATGAAAACTTTTTCAGTCTTGATCTTCCACATAATCGCAATCACAAAGTCATTAACAGCTGAAAGAAAACACTATTTATCCAATAAAAATGACTTAATGTATTTGAAGTACTTACATACATCATTGGGTATCATATCCGTATAATATAACTTCTCTTTGAATTACCGAACATATCGTTTTATAAGACATTCCATTCATTGCCTTTCTTAAAGTATGAGATTATGTGTTTCTTATTTTCATTATCTTTTCTATTTGATAGTGTTTCTTTTATTGTTAAAAATATTTTCTAGTCTCTTATCATCACGTCATATGATAAGATATTTTTATAATTTTCATATTATATGATTTTTTAATATACTTTACAAAAAAATAATTATATTTTATATTATATTAAACATTTTATATATATTATATATTATATTAACATTTTTAATAAATTTATATTATTCGTACTCTTAGTTAAAAGACTTCAAATAAATTCAAGCGTACATAACGCTTTAGTCTATCATTGTATATGAATGAAAGAACGTAGTCAATATATTTAATTGACTTACATTTGACAGTCCGCGAAGTCAACCGTTACAAGAGCAACAATTCTCGAGATGGCTCGTTGGTCTAGGGGTATGATTCTCGCTTAGGGTGCGAGAGGTCCCGGGTTCAAATCCCGGACGAGCCCATTTTTTTATTAATTTAACTGGTTTCTCAGTGACCTACTTTCACGACTTTCAGTTTGGTAATTCGCTGGAAGTCTTTTATGACACATT